TTTATTACCATCATTATGTGAGATTAGTAAGTTATGTGATCATATACTACAGTTCTAGTTTATTACCACCATTATGTGAGATTAGTAAGTTATGTCATCATATACCACAGTTCTAGTTTATTACCATCATTATGTGAAATGGGTCGGTTATGTCATCATATACCACAGTTCTAGTTTATTACCATCATTATGTGAGATGGGTCAGTTATGTCATCATATACCACAGTTCTAGTTTATTACCATCATTATGTGAAATGGGTCGGTTATGTCATCATATACCACAGTTCTAGTGTATTACCACCATTATGTGAGATGGGTCAGTTATGTCATCATATACCACAGTTCTAGTTTATTACCATCATTATGTGAGATTAGTAAGTTATGTGATCATATACTACAGTTCTAGTTTATTACCATCATTATGTGAGATTAGTAAGTTATGTGATCATATACCACAGTTCTAGTTTATTACCACCATTATGTGAGATTAGTAAGTTATGGTATCATATACCACAGTTCTAGTTTATTACCATCATTGTGTGAAATGGGTCGGTTATGTTATCATATACCACAGTTCTAGTTTATTACCACCATTATGTGAGATGGGTCAGTTATGTCATCATATACCACAGTTCTAGTTTATTACCATCATTATGTGAGATGGGTCAGTTATGTGATCATATACTACAGTTCTAGTTTATTACCACCATTATGTGAGATGGGTCAGTTATGTGATCATATACTACAGTTCTAGTTTATTACCATCATTATGTGAGATGGGTCAGTTATGTCATCATATACCACAGTTCTAGTTTATTACCATCATTATGTGAGATGGGTCAGTTATGTCATCATATACCACAGTTCTAGTTTATTACAATCATTATGTGAGATTAGTCAGTCAAAAAAAGTTTGCTGGCAGCTGACTAATTTGTTTATGTAAATGCATGTAGCATTAATTAAAGTTTCAAAGTCGTTATGGGACCATAGTGACGTATACAGCACATGTAAAATAGATTTTTTTGGGAAATTCGAGCACACGTCGTGTTTTGAGTTGTATCTAAATCATGTGGTGATCATTACTGCTGTTATGTACACACTGTACTTGTATGTATTGATGCATTTATTATGATACAGGCCGGAGATTATAAGAAGACCGTGACCTTTGACCACGAAAGCAACTTTAGTGAATCAGCTGGAGATGCATTGATCAATAATTCACTTAGTCAGAAAAATGAAAATGGTTAGTTCATCTCTGAGTTATTATTTTCACATTCAGTGAATGGGTATTTGATAAAACATTAAAATTTGTGTCTGAAAGTTTGGTTTCATTAACATTTATGTATTGCTTATCTATTGTTATGCATCCAAACTTATAAATAGACTCACTAGCAAAATTCTTTTATGACTAGGAATTTTTCAATTGACAAAACAATTTTATTCAGTTCATTTGGGGTGGAGGATTTAAAAACAACATTCAAAATATTGTTATGTTTCACAAAAAAGAAAGTGTTGAGACTGTTTTTACTTTTGTCTCAGTATTGAATCAAAATAATAGACTGTGCTTAAACTTGGCTTGCCAATGATTTTGGTATTGTATAAAAGTAGGCCATTATTATTTATTAATTCTTAAAACTATGATGATAAATGTAATAATTTTTTTTTCTGTTTTGACAGCTACGAACGCGGATACCAGAGATGAAGAAGATGTCGAATTTGACTTAGGACTTGGTTAATGAGCATATTTGATGGATAAGATGGACATCATCACATGGAAAACTCAACAATTTGTTGCCATAGTTACATGTAAAATTAAAATTAATATGACTAAGGTTGATACTAATAATATTGCTCATTGCATTAAAAGATTCCTTCATCTGACAGCAATGGCTATACAAACCTTGATTATGTTAGAATTAATGTCATTCCCACCACCAATTTTATTCATCTCGTTTTTCATACACATATCAAGCATAAAATAAGAATGTACAAAAGCTGTTTTAGCAATAAGTTTTGTTCATATTTTTGCCTAAGTTTTAAGGAATAATTGCTTAATTATTTATTGTTGATGAATTTATATTTATTGTGAAGATCTTCTAGTGAAATGAAATATTGGCATTCATTCCTGATAACCAGTCATTACAGTCTGAATGCAGCATTCTTCATTTGGATATTTTTAGTCTCTGTTTGGACGCAGTACGAAAGCAGGGATCTCTGTCTGTGGGTGTGTGGGTGCATGCGTGCATCCCGACCTGTATCTTAGACATGCCTGGACTGATCACATTCAAACTTCATAGATACATCATACATAATATTATACATTTGCACATCAATTTGTTTTGCAATCTGATTCAAAATGGCCAAATGGTGGCCTTTTTTGTGATGGAAAGTCATCAAAATCAAGCATTTCTGGCATTCCGGAACTGGATCTCTTGTGTTTACAGATGGATTTTGTTGAAACTTGGTACAAATGTACATACATTGGACATTGTGGGTCCCTGATGAACTTTGTTTTGTTTTTCTGATCGGATTAAAAATGGCTGACTGGTGGCCATATTGTTTTAATGAATGTTGTTCTGATTTACTGATTATGTTCAAATTTTATATAGTCATTATAAATCATGTCATAGATAAAAAGATATATTGGTTTGGCTATCCAATTCAAAATGACCGACTAGTGGCCATTTTGTTTTAATTAATGCTGTTCCAGAGCAATAATATCTCTCAATATGGACAAGTACTCATTTGACGATCAGATACAAGATGACTGAATGTCAGTTCTTTTAATGTTAAAAAATCATAATCGAGCATCAGCTTCTGAATCCATATCTCTGATATTCCAACTATAATACTATAAAAAAACTATATATCTTAAATTTGATAACTAACAGGAACTGTGCTACCATGGCTTGTTTTTTTTTTTACTTGATAACCTTGTCTCTGGTTTATCAAAATTAGATTTTTCCAGATTTGTCCATTATATTACAATTTTCTACCCCGTTTATCAATCATTTTCATCACCTAAATATCAAACAATGAAAATTTTATAGTTATTTCTTTTCTTTTTTCATCACCGAGAAACAAAAACATACTTTTAAAACATTGTGCAAATGCTATGGTCAAAGTGTAAAAAAGTAACTTGTATCCAATCAATTAATTGTATTGTGCTTGGTGAATGGATAAATGTGAAATATTAATAGACATTTATTCTCCATGGTTGTAATTTGTGTAACCAGAGCCACAGAAATGTGGCAAAGTGGAAATTTCAAACTGTGAGTTTTTGCTAAAACCATGTATACCATTTTGAGGTTTACTCACATCTTAGTTTAGGATAATCAAGCATATTCTGTTTAAAGGGCGGTAGTCGTCGTACCATGCATGCACGAGATATGTGGGTCTCATATAAACAAAGATGGCGACTTTGACTGTTGCGCAGATCAAGGAGTACAAACTGGGACGTTACCAAGCTTTAATTAGATATTGCAAGTCGCGCCCAGATCAAATCTCATACTTGTAATTTCCATTTGAAAAGTGCATTGAATTGTGGGAAAATCAATGTTTATCAACACAGATGTCGCACAAGCTCAACGACCACCGCGCTTTAAATAGTGATTTATTCAAGCAATTAAAATCAGTGGAAATCTCTATCATTTAGTATTTGAATGCTACAAAAACATTGATTTACACATTATTTTTTTTTTATTAATCTTAAAAACATTTGTATCTTTAATTTTGTGAATGAAAACAAAAGTAAACCTTTTTGTTCAAAGGGTTGATAAATTCAAGGGCACAGTAGACGATGGCAGGAATAGAGAGGAAATGATGAAATAATTAAATTTTTGTGTGTGTTTTTTCTCTGCAGCATTTATGTTGAATTAGCTTTAATTTTTGTTCATAGATGAACGCTGCTTGGACTGATAAATATTATTTATGATAGATATTATTTGGTAATTGTTGTCTTATGTAACTATTCAGAATAGCCAGACTTTTTGTGCAATTCTTTGATATCTTTTTTTAAAAACATCTTTAATGCTGCTGAAGAAAAGCCATTACTCAAAAGTTCTAGCTATTTTGAATAGTTGCTTAAAACTAGATGTTTAATTGTATTCGAGTCAAAAACACAGAGTTACGAAAATATCAAGTTTCAAAAATAAATTTTGTGAAACTACGTCCAAATTGTTATTTGATTTGCAATTAACAGATAACTGAATTTAAGTTACGGGCAACATAGATTTTTTATTTTGTGACAATTTGGGCGAGGTTTCACAAAAGTTGGCAGGGTTTCTAAAATATGGACATGTTCATTTTTGTAACTCAATGTTTTATCTTGATATCTGTAACTCGGTAATTCAGCATCTCCTTAGAACAACAATCAACAAATATTATCTATTCTGTTTTAATTCAGCTTGAAGTAGCCAAATAATTATTGTCAAAAGTATTGTCTAGTTTTGTTTTTAGTTCATAAATTCTATTTATATAACTTGCCAATTTGTTTAACTACATATATTTGGAAGATTCTTTTTATTCGAATCAGAATCAGCGTGATTAATATGCAAAATCAGTGCCTTATGTATTATTAAATCATATACAATTTAATATTTTGAAATTATACTAAATATAAAAATTCTGCATGGCAGTGAATTTGATTGTAAATATGAACTTTTATACAAAATGTTTTATGAAATGTATATAATGTATCGGTAAATGATTTTTAGAACTGTAGAGGGCAGTATTTTGTGGTAATCAATCAATACATTGTTATTTTGTATTCAGGTATGTTTACTTTACGCACAGTTCTTAATTTTAATGATATTCTTTGACTATTCAGACAATGTAGTTATTGTTTGACTTTCTTTGCTGTCTTCTGTTCTTTTAATCAGTTATGACTGTACAATCGGAAATAAAAAATATTATTGTCAGAAAAACGCTTTTGTGAATTATAGAAGTTTTTATGCCCCGCTGTTGACTTTGTGATTGTGTGTCGGTAATTGTCACCGCCAACATTTTTATTTTTTGACTCCCATGTGCGAAGCACAAAATGGGAGTCTTTGCAGTTAGTGTGTCTGTATGTGTGTGTGTATGTGTGTATGTGTGTATGTGTGTCCGACTGTTCCACT